AACTGGTAAACTTTATTCAGGCAAATATCCAATTCATTTTTGTCAGACCTTGTGAAATGACACCTTGAGCGTTCATATTCTGTTTTGCAGTCTCATTATTCTTCTAATTAAGTTTAACAAGGTGCTACTAATTAAGTTGTGCCAGCATTATGGAAAAGCTGATTGCAGATTGTGCTTGGCTTTGTTATCCAAAAGTGCTGTAGCTGAGCCCACCTTAATTATAACTGCAAAGTCAGCTGAAGGAAGGAATATCTAGAAGTATTTGAGGTCATGTAAAAATAAGCCAAGCAAGTACTGAATTTAGCTTTAAAAAGCTAGCATTGTAAATTATATTATCAGTTGACTGGTTGATATCCCAGCTAAGGGAGATCACAATTCACATGTCATACTCTAGATTCAAGGCTTTTTATTCCAGAGGAGGTGGAAAGTATAGGCTCAAAAACTGGGTGTGACAAAGATGACCCAATCCTTCTTTCCAGCAATAAGATTATAGAACCTGACCTTGTCTGAATTATGCTGAAAAAGGGCATTATTTTAACAACTTAAGCAGATCCTCGCAGGCAACAAGAAACAACCAAATAATGATGCTAACATGGAAAGCTGACTCTGTAACAAACCCAGATGTCTACTTTGCCTGCACAGTTACCCTATCAGTACCATCACAGGACCCAACAATTTTCACATACCAGGAGCTCTTCTATCATCATCTGCCAACAGTGCCCCTCTGGATTCTACATAGGACAACAAGGCCAAGCCTTGTGCAAAAGAAGTAATGAACACAAGTTTGACATCAGGACTCAAAACAAGGGCAAAGTAATATCAAAGCATCTTAACCTCCCAGGACACCTCATTACAGATCTCAAAGCAACTGTTTTGGAACAAAGAAACTTTACCAGCATAATGAATGCTTCAGGCCATCTCAGAAAGTCTCAACAAACACAATGGGTTTTTAACACATTACAGTTGTTAATTGATTTGGGACGTGTAATCTGCCTCACATGTAACATGCATCTACAATTACCCTGTCTTCCCGTCCCACCATGGGCCTCCTTCCAAATTAAACCTTACATCAATTTGGCCACCCTACCCATCTGATGAAGTGAGCTATAGTTTACAAAAGTGTATGCCTTTTAATAAAATGTGTTAGTCCGAAAAGGTGCTACCAGACTCCTGATTTTTGGCTTATCATAGACTAAAATGGCTCTCCTACAAATCACTAAAAATAATTGTTCTAATATTGGTCAGACTTCATATAGATTATTGTGAATGAATGCTGGATTTTAAAAAAGATATAGGCAAATTGAGAAAAGGTCAGAGAAAGGTAATTGTATTCACAAATATGAAAAACAAGGCACATGAAGAAAGGTTGTGGAAGAAAAGAGACACTTGATGACACTACGGGAGCTTTAAAGATGAAGATTTATAGCCAAAGGGTAGGAGTAGATTTTGGTTGAATATTAGGAAAAATGTACTGATGATAATAGCTATTCATCAAAATTTGTCAATGGAATGGATTATTTATAGAGTTGGAAGGGCTATCCCTTGCTGAAGGTCTTCAAGCTGATGCAGAATTGACTGCTATTATATGTCAGAGATATTATAGTTTTGGTTTTTCTGTATGAAGCAAGCTCCTTCCAACACTATCCTATCCTATGCCAGTCAACAACACGTGACAAAATATTAATAGTTGCCAAGCTCTGTGACTCTTTTTAGCATCAAATTCCCCCCCCCCCAAAAGCTGCAGCCAAACAAAACCAAAAAAATGGGTCAACTTAGCTTTTATTCATCTGTTAACTTCTCCATAATTAATTGATCCATTTATTTTGAAACCAAACAAAAGCATCTGGAATATCGTTCCTTTTTTGGCTGCCAAGCAACTGAGCAGCTGGCAAGGACCAAAGAGACAAAACCTTCTTGATCAAATTGCTGCCTCTCCCAGGAAAACAGAGGAGAAGCTTAACAGATTCAAAGCAAAATGGGTCAGATTTATTTCTAGAACTCTTCCACAAGATACAGTGATTGGTTGATTAGTCAGTGATAACGGCAGACAACTCATTATGTAGAGGTGCTTGATTAATGTTTGCAGGTAGCATAAGAGTAATGGTCTATTTTATTAATTTTATTAATTTTATAGTTGTGAGATTTATATCCCACCTTTTTTTCCTCTTAAAACCATGTCAGGCAGCTAACAGCTATTAAAAACAAAAGCAATATTCTTACAATATTACCCATCACGCTACTCCCTTTTGGGGTAAATATTAGGCAAAGTACAGAAAAGGAGAAAGAATATAGTAAACCAAATAAATTAAAGGCATGAGAAAAAAAACAATATGGTAACTTTTTTCCTATTTAATTTCATTTTAACAAACATTTCAAAGCACAATCAAGAAAAAATTAAAAGAAAAAGAAAACAACATATTTTTCTAGCCTGGCCAACCATCCTTGTTTGCACCACATCCATACACCCAGCAGCATCCATGGCAAACCATGATAATGCCAAGATAATTGCATAAGTGCAGGGATGTCATTATGCAAATGCTGCCAATAAATTCTTGCAACCTGACATGCATAAGGTATGGCATTTGCATGGTGACATCACACATTGTTATTTGCCCCAC